ATATATATATGGAGCTGAGAGGAAAGAATGCACTGAATTATAATTTTGAATAAACTTAGTTGATTCTGTTGAGTGTTTCTTCTAGGGCTTAATTCAGTGTTGTCTTTGTTAAAAAAATGCAGTTGCATATTGTCATTTTAATCTTGGAATAACCTATCGTATTAGGGTACTTACTAATAATTAGAAATAAGCATACTAAAAACAAAATTTGGAATTACTGTATGTACAGTGTTATACTGCATTTAGTTTATATGAAAAAGCAGCATATGACTACAGATAAAACTAGGAGCATGTGGGTGACATTCTTTAGAAAATCTTATGAGTAATAGTAAACAATTCTAGTGCTTTGCATCTTTAAGGTGCTTCATAGCCACTAATAGGCTTAAAATAATTGTATGAAAACTAATTTTAGATTTTTAGTTGAAGGAATATTGTTTCTTCGTTCATAGTGTTCATTATTCACAAGTAATTTTTTGTTTTATTAATGTGGCTTGTTAAATAAACTGTGCTTGTGGTGCACTGGAAAGTGAAGGAGAAAAGATGTGTAATAGTGCTTCAAATAAATAACAAAAGTGAAATCTAAAACTGCCCCAAAGTGGGCAAAACCCCCCACATACCTAATTGGAACTCTGTATTTTAACATTAGAAGACAGTATTTCTGATACCGAGGAAAAATTGTAGACCCTTATTCATGCACAAAAACACATCTGACCTCATGCCTGTGTGCATAATTCTTCTGAAATTTGACTTTGAGCAAATTCAGGTATTTTTGTCTTGAGAAGGATTTGTTTGTATTAAATTCTGAAGGTTCTTTGTTCAGGAGTCAGTTTTGATTAACTTGCCATAATCTTGGTCTCTGACGAGCCATGTCTTCATGCATGTAGCGTTAGGTTTACTACAGCACCCCGTTTCTGGCAACTTAGCAGTGGTGTGGGTGGTGTGTGTAAGACAGACTGTTTTCAGATTTTGTGCTGCAACACATTTGAATGTATTGTAACAGCTTTTAACTTTCTGTATAATGAAAATACCATATCATGCTTTTTGGTGAAAGGTTAAAAATGTAAATGTTTTTATGCAGGATGAGGAAAAAGGTCTTAGAAAAGTGAGTGAAATTGTGGAGGAGCAGCAACATCTTAAGGATGGATTAAGTGCTCATAAATCTGAGGTTAAAAAAACCCAAGATGAACTTGAAGATTTCAGAAAGACGGTGTTAAGTCTTAATAGGTAATTACTAATTGTAATCCGGGGAAAAAATGATTAATAACGTAACATTTAGAAGAGCTTTAGTGCTCTGATGTTTGAATTTCTTCTGTTTTCTTGTGAACGATTCATTAGAGATATGGTAATTTGCATTTGCAGTATGCGTTAAGTTAAAAGGTGTTTCTAATTCAGTATGTGGTTCCTGAAAGTAACGTGAACCAGATGATCTCATGAGAGCCAGCCCATAAACCATATGGAATAACATTATCTTATTAGCTACCTAGTGTTAAGTCTTCTTGTGATTTCTGATAAATATGTATTGACTTCTGATAAATAAGTATTAGCTTATAGCTTGATGGGGGGAGGCATATGAAGTTTGCTGGTAGTTTCATATTTTTGTTTGAGTTGTACAGTTCATTCAATGAATTAGAATTTTTTTTTTCTGATTTCAGACATTTCAGATTTCTCATTTTCTCCAGGCCTTTCAAGTGCTGGATACCTTTAACTAATACTAATTTTAGGTCACTATTTTGTCCTTACTTTTGTTCTTTTAAATCAGCTGCTTTGGGGACAGTTTATCATTTAGTTTTCTTATGCTCGTTTATTATTTATTTATTTAATGTTTAATTCTCTTAATCGCGAATCTTCTTTATGTTTAAAAAAAACCCAACGTGTTGGCAGAGTATGGCTAGGTAAACTTGCAGAATTTTATATAAACTCATAGATTGCATGCCTAGTAATTTTAGTGTGTAATTTTAACAGTATAAGATTTTTCTTAAGTTTCTGCCTTACTTAGTAATTTGATGCTGTCAAAGGAATTTGTTGCAAAGAATCAAGGTGTATTTCAAGTACAGTAACCATAAAAGATACTTGATTAAATTTGAAAATGATACAATCTCTGTACACGTTTTGCAGAGCTGAACAGAACAGAGTTTAGCTGTAGTTAGGAAAGGTGGATATTTGAACGTGCTGTAGTGTGGACTTGCAATAGATTGAAACTACGTCCATGCTACTAGCATTTACCATGCGATAAAGAGTTAGCACAGAGTGGCAGAGTGTTAGCTTGCATGCTAGAATACTGTGTGGTTCCCAGCTCCCTCTTAATTTAGGAGAATGAAGGGGATGGAAGACGTTAAGTACCATTTTCCATTACCTTTGATGAGGATTACAGAGGAAAAAGCTCTCTTTGTGCGTGGTAACTGTTTTTCATGCTGTGTGGGTGCAGATGTCACTGGCAGTGATGCTGCTGCTCTTTAATAGTTTTGCGCCTTTTGTGTATGTAGGGAAGCTACAAAATTACAAAAGGAAGCTACAGCCATAGAAACCACTCTGGAAGCGAAAAGATTAAGACGACATAATATGCTTCTTGAATGCAAGGTCCAGGACTTGAAAATAAAGCTCCTGTCTGGATCACTGTATGACATCAGTGAAGTAGAGGTACTTAAAATGTTTACAGAAGATAGATATCACAGAAGAACAATTACGCAGTCTTGAATACTCATTTTTTCCTTACAGGACCATTTGTTTTACATAGCAGTGTTAAAATAAATACATTATTTTCAAGTGATCAAGCCTTATCCATTCAAGAGAAGGATTTTTGGTTATTTTATGTTGTTTGCAAGTATTTTTGCATGTGCTTGAAATTTATTCCCATGAAATATGTAAAAATGCTGTGGTAAGAGAAGATTGGTGTGAAGGAGTATTCTAGATATACGTAATCAAGGGGGCATACAAGTGTCAGTTCAGAACTGTAAATAAATATAGCATGTGCATTGGTTGAGATAATATTTGGTTAATCATCCATAATAGAAATGCCATCTAAAATCATCCTTTTGTCTTCAGTAGATGTAGACAGTCACAGAAATTGGGGATGAACTAAAATAGAAATACTCCTGCTATTAGAGGATTGATCCTCGTTATTCTTTTTATCACTCCTTCCTCTTTTTCTAGTGTATGTTGTGTAAGGAGAACTTTCTCCACTGCTACAAAAGGGAAGAGCTATGGGCTTTGAAGGACTTGTAACGAGTCTGTGAGTTTGGAAGGAGTCTTGCAGAACCCATCCCTTAGAAAAGTACTTTTTTTGGAGGATAGGTAGGAATGAGTGCATCAGAATTAAAAATGAAGGCAGTGAGGTATGCAGTCTTTGAAAGGAAAAGACATGAAGTGATAAACATCAGAGTATGTAGGCAGCTGAGCTGTCGCTGTTTGTGAGTAAGGAAGAGATGAAACCAAGGAGGTGGGCAGAAGGAATAACAACTTAGATTCCTCATTAATGTCACTGAGAAGAGCAGTCAGATTTGGTTCTGAGAAAGAATCTTGGTGGGAAGGGGACTGAGACTGACATGCAGCACGTGTTTCATTCAGGGAAAAGTACTTTTTGAAATCCAGGCTGCAACATGAGGAAGATACTCTGCTTATGCTGTACAGAACTGAGTGGAAGAAATGCCAAAAATTAAACATTTCAAAGGCTTTCCGTGGAAGATGAATGAATTATCATGGGAACGTAAATCCTTTCCAGTCAGAACATTTACACTATGCACACTGTTCTAAATATATTACAAATACATTACTTCTGCTTTCCTCTTGCCTTCAGATGTAATTAGCAGATGTTTTCAACTTCATAGAAAATATGCATTTTTAATTAGACTCATGAGATCTTAACTGTTAACTCTGTTTTGGCTAGGGGAGGAGCAATGGAGTAAGTTTACCTAATACCATGTTACCACAGTCTCCTCACTTCATATCCTTTTAATGTATGGTTTTAACAGTTTAAAAGTTAACTGTGTCATATTTACGAACTGAGATGTCCTTCATATTTGTAGCTAGGAACTGAAACAGAAGACACTGAGACTACATCAAGTATCTACGAAAGGGAAGAAGCGATTCAGATAGACTACAGCAGCCTAGGAGAAGATCTGAAGGTAATTTTGCTTGAAATTTAGATAATCAAGTTTTTTTACTTCTATATAAAATACATTATTCGTTGAAATTATTTATTCTTCATGCTAGTCTTTAAATGAAACTTACTAAAAACACTGTTAAGTGTGTGTCTCTGTATGTGTGTGTTTTGGTTTTGCAGTTATTCGTACCACCTAATGTTTGGGATTTCTGGATAGGTTAGTTTCCCAGAAAACTATATTTAATTTAAAGCTCACCTAAATCATACAAATAAAATGGAAATGTATTTTTTTTTCCTTCCTCTTTTACCTTTTGCCTTTAAGTTCCAACACTATAGGTTATGACACTAGAAACCAGTGATTGCCTGCCAAGGGGGTTATACCACCTCTCTGTAGTATTTTCAGAGACTGAGACTTGCCATACTTCTCTCTGTAATGCTCTGCTGAGAAAACATGACCTTAGAGTTTTTTGTATTTTTTTTCCTTTTTAATCATAAGGAAGATAGGTAAATGGCAGAGGCAAGGTACAGAGCAAGGGACAAATCTGTCATCATTGGAATTTGCCTCAAAGAACTCATCAAGAACCTGTCTTCAGAGATTTTATTAACAAATCAAATCGTGAAGTCCACCTCCTGTGTTGTATTTTAACCCAGACTTCCAGGGTGAAGGGAGTCTGTTGTCTGTTTTTAAAGGTCTTGTGGAGCAGTGTGTAGGACTTAGTAAATTTCTGCTGAGAACTAAGACTCTGGGTGGAGTTTTTTTGTTGCGTTTCCAGTTAAATCTATTAGATGAGTGGGGTACTTCCTCCAGAAACCATGAGTGCTTGCCATGTATGTTGAAATGTCTTGGCCTAAAAGCAAACTTCATTACTTTAGTATTTTAATTTTTCTTCTTTAGGACCTGGACTCTGATAAAGAGATAGAGGGTCATCTGAAGCAGATGCAGCAGGAAATAAAATCTAAAGAGAGTACTTTAATGAAGACAGCTGCTCCAAACCTGAGAGCAGTAGAGAAATTACAGATAGCTCGGGACAAGTTCCAGGAGTCAGCAGATGGTAACACACAGCCTTTCATGTTCACCTCTTTTGTGACTGAGAGAGTTTTCACCCTAATTGAAATTCCTCTTTCTGGGGTTGGTCCTGCTGACTTTGCTTCTTTAAGATATGAAGGTATTAAGGTATTTTTTTTGTGCTGAAGTGTTTATCCCCAGTTGTCTTTTAAATTATATGTAAACAATCTATTAACATACACTTTACTCTGCAGTAGTTCATTGAAATACAGTTTGGTTAGAAAGATACTTTGTTGGCCAATGATATCATAAAGTATTTTTACTTGTTTTATAAAAATTGCTTTAATCATAATTATTTTTTTCTTAAATAATTGAAGGAACATCTGTACAGTATAGAAGTCAAACATAAGCATTACTGCAAAATTATTGGTGTTCTCAAAGAGCATTGCAGACATTATCGTATTAAGAAAACCAAGGAGTTCTGAGGCTGTAACAGGTAAATGCTGGTGCTGCTTAAGGCTACCCAGCTTATAGAAGGAATTAAAATTCTGTTCATTGCTCCAGACAAATGTGGCATAGAGCAGATTGAATACATCCCAACTTTTCAGTTTTGGAGGCTTCCATTTCAGATCTGGAAGAAAACTCCTAGTATTGGTGGGCTCCTTGTATGTGTATTGGAACCTTTTTCTGCACTAAACCATTTTCTGCAGTTTTCCTCGATGCTTGTTAAGGTACATAATGTGTATTTGTTCTGTGTTTTTGCTTAGAGGGTTATTATGGAATAATTTCAGCATTTTTTTTTCATAGCTTTTGAGACCAGCAGGAAGGAGGCCAGAGTATGCAAGCAAGAATTTGAACAGGTGAAAAAAAGGAGATACGAGCTTTTTAGCCGGTGCTTTGAGCACACCTCCGTAGCTATTGATCAGATCTACAAGAAACTTTGCAGAAGCAGTAGTGCTCAGGTATGTCTTAAAAGGCCTGCTTGACGCTTTGGTACCTACAACAAGAGAACTTGGTAACACCTTTAGTTTTCAAAGACCATTTCAGTCCTGAAGAAGATAATTACACAAATGATGAGGACTTCAGAATTTCAGGGGCAGAGGAGGAATGGGTAATATGCCAAAGCATGCTTGACATTAGACAGATAAATATGATCTGAAGTGTTAACAGAATTGGGAACTACTCAGTTTGGGTTAGTTTTACTCTTTGCATTTAGCAGATTTGTAAATTATCATGGCACAAATGTGAAATATATGAGAGTTCTTAATTTTAAAATAACTGGTTTATGGATCTAGTGATGCCAGTAATAAGTGTTAGTATGACTAAATCTAAAAGTCATAAATCACTGTTTGAGAGCTAGTGTTCAGGTTTTGAACCTCCTTATACGCCACTTAAATAAATATTTTTAAAAGATATACTTAGTATGTTGGCAACTTTTAAGAAACTTGTAGAAAATTTGTGTCACAATTGCACTAACCTTTTCTAATGTTCCAGTATTAATGTGGGAAGTAGAGAGGAAACTCCCCAATGCTTTCGTTACATCAAATTCTGTGGATGGTTGAATGTTTAAATGGCTCAGGCTTCAGCTCATCTGTCTTAAACTTTAGATTTTTTGTTTTCCCTAAGATCCAAATATTCAGTGAACACACTAAATATCTTTAAATGTTTCCTTTCTGCTTGTAGTTTGGACAGAATAATAAAGCATTTCTTTCCTCATGATTACTGGGCACATACCTTCTCCCCTAGACTAAATATTAGGCAGGTCTTGACTATGCATCACTCTGAAACAACCCGTATTTTCCAACTGCATTGCCAAAAATAAGTATTTGGGTGCTTTCTTGCTGAGGTCTGTGATACTGTGCCTTGATTTGAGCCACAGTGGTTAACCTGGACAAGAGATAATCCTGTGATTAGCTGGGAAACTAAAACTACCTAGTAGATACTAACATAGTAGCTGAAGGAACTTGGTCTAATTGCACTGGAAGAGAAATGATTGCTCTGTGTGTGGTGATTTGCTCTGATTAGCTCCGAGTTTTCCCATCAGAGGAGGTGACCTAGGTTGCAGCTTGAATAGATGCTTTTTAAGCAACCTTAACCATTTTTAACATTAACATCTCTTAATAATAAAATTAGTATTTCTTTGTATTACTGACATTTATTAATAATGCGTTACTGTGCAGTCCAAAAAAGAGAAGCTTTTATAGAGATTCTGGACTCAGAACATTTGTGCACTGAATATATTGCTCAGTAAAATTTATTTCATCAGCACATTGCGTGCTAGAAGTACTTTAAAAGAAACTACTACCTAATAAGTGGTACATGCTCAGATGCACTGCTGAGTTCGCCACCGGTTCTCTTCCATTCTTCTGTGGAGAGACAAGTGTCGTTCCTTTCATATCGTGATAAGCAAAGAATGTATGTACCCTCGTAAGCTGTGAGATTACTTCTGCTAACAGTGTCCATACATCTGAAAACTTCCTCTTGCACAGATGTATGCAATGGCATAGAACTGGGAGTTGCATTGTGAGATACTTGACATGTTTCCAGCCTGAAGAACATTATAAGAAGAATGACAGGCACGCTCCCAGCAGAGAAGAAGAGGAAAATATGCGTGCCTCCAACAAAACAAAGATTGTAAATAGTTTGTAAATAACAAATATGTGGAGCCATTTCCTAAATGGGCTTGTTAGTTAGCCTCCTAGAGCACGGTTCATTAACAAAGGCATATTCCCTGGAAAATTTTATAGTGCTGCTCTTCAGTAGAGATGAGCAGGTGTTTCCTACAAAGGAAGCTAAGTTACCAGTTTCAGCACTAACTCAGTCAGTGTTTAAACCTAAAAATTACCCATCTTAATTCTATAAATGTCACTGTTAATGAAATGTATCCATTTCCAGGCACTCCTTAGTCCTGAAAATCCTGAGGAGCCTTATCTGGAAGGGATTGGCTTTAACTGCGTGGCTCCAGGAAAACGCTTTATGCCAATGGACTGTTTGTCAGGAGGTGAAAAATCTGTGGCAGCTCTGGCTCTTGTGTTTGCTATACACAGGTAAAAGAAATATTAGGGTATTTATTATCCAAATATGTGGCTGAGTAAGTGGCAGAAAGATAGTGTTACACTGACAAACGTAAAAACAATCTGCTAATAAGAGTAACCAAACACTTACTGAAGTCCTTTATTCTTTACCTGCCATTACTTTTTATAAAATTTTATGATAAAGTGAATCTGAAAAGTAAATAGAATGTTTATTAACATTTTCGTAGCTCAATACAAAATACTGTATTTTCTTCTACAGTTTTCGGCCAGCACCTTTTTTTATTTTAGATGAGATAGATGCTGCCCTGGATAACACAAACATTGATAAAGTAAGTTGGTCCCTTTCACCTTAGCCTTTTATTGACAGTATAGTGATAACGTTGTGTAGAAGAATGGCTACTTTCATTACAGGTTCTTGGGATAAAGCAATTGATTACACTGTCTTAACCTAAAATAAAGATGATTTAGAACTGAAGTAAATGATTGTATGACATGTTAAAGTAGGGCTGGGTTTGAATTCATGAATCTAAGCGCGTTTTAATCAGTCACCAAAATGGAAAGTCATTTGGCCACGTGTGACACAATCTGACCTGAAGGTCACTTGTGAGTTGTTTGGCTGGAATTTTCAAGGCCATTGAGTTCCCTTACATCCCTTATGCCAGAGTTTGCTTGGAAGGTACACCTGTAGTGGACAGCTGGGGAAGCTCCACTACTTGTGCCTGCCAGATGGATTCCTTCTGAGAGATCACTGATTCCATGTGGCATTGTGAAAAGTGTTTTCCTGAACACTTCCTTAAAAATTCCTTGGGATATGGGTCCATGAGGGATGCCCATCATTCACTACTTCTCAGCAGATGATGTGCCCCGAGTTTTAGCTTGGTTCAGTGTGTTTGAGATTAGACATAATGGGACTGCAGTTAAAATAAAGAAACAGGCTTTAGGGTCTGGCTCTCAATTCAAAAGAATCATAGAATCATTTGGTTGGAAAAGACCTTTAAGATCATTAGGTCCAACTGTAATCTGTCCACTACTAAACCCTGTCTCTTAAACACCCCATCTACCCATCTTTTAAATACCTCCAGGGATGGTGACTCGACCACTTCCCTGGGCAGCCTGTTCCAATGTCTGGTAACCCGTTCAGGGAAGACATTTTTTCAGATAACTAACCTAAACCTTCCCTGGTGCAACTTGAGTCAGGAAAGGTTTCTAGAACACCTATACCAATGCCTACTCCATCCACCACACAGAGCAAAACAATCCTTTTTGAATACCCTATATTAAAAGCAAAAGTGCTATAGGAAAGATTGAAACTCTATAAATCAATATAACCTCTGATATGAGTAGAAAATAACAAGATTTAGTTTTCTCTGTTCCTGCAACATATTTTTACTCTGCTTTGTTATGTCCTGTTGTCCAAATAGCAGACAGAACAGACAACTCTGAGGAAGAAAAATAAATCAATCCAAGGTACTCTCTTAGACAAAGGCAATTTACACCTGACTTAAGCCTCACCTTCATAGAATCATTATGGTTGGAATTACATGATCAGAAACAAGATTGCACATCAAGTGATCACAGAACACCTCTGTGGGCTAAGCTTTTTGCAAGGATACTTTTCTGTTTATTAGTCTTTCACTCAGGGCCACTATGACTTGACATAACAGTTGAAGATGACGTGTTCTGGTTAAGTATCGGTATTGTATTTTCTGGATGTTATTCTTAGTTCTAGACTCAAATGTATCATGGCTGATGGCTAAGAGTTACCCAGGCTGCATCCAAGTTCTCCTTTACTGTCTTTCTTGTCTGCTATTACACAACTTAATGGTAAATTTCACATTTTTGCCTTTCATCAAAGCTGCAGTGTATTAGGTGATAAGTACTTCCTGTCTCTGAAGACTTCTGAGGTGGTCTTTTGGATACAAATGTAAAACTCTCCATGGTTCTGTCTGGAGCTGGACAGGACTCCCAGATCATGCCTAACAAAATTGCTGGTCATTACCTAGGTAACTTTAGTTTATCCACGTAAGTTCCTGTTGCAGTTGTAGGTGCACCAGTTGTGAATTACATACATATACTCTGAAGTTCACAATTTCAACTTTCCATAGAGGCTACAAATGATGCATTAACACAGCTGCTAAGAGACACAGTCATGAGGCACTTTGCCACAGTTTGCCTTTCCGAGTGTCATGGTTTAGGGCTGGGCTGGCCACTAAATCCTGGAGAGACGCTCTCTATTAACCCCTCTCCCCTCACCAGAAGGGAAGAGAAAAGAGAATAAGGGAGAGAGACTTTACAGGTTGGAAAATAAAACTAACAGATGTAATGAAACAATAATACTACAGGATAATAATGTAAATAGGAAATAATGAAATATATACAAATATGTACAAATATATTTATATAAAAACAATGTAAAATCCTCCTCCCATGCCCCCCCAATGACAATTACATCACCAGAGGCTCTGTAGAGCAGGGCACTAGTAAAGTCCCAAACTGGATGAAGCAGCAGGTGGGAGCAGGATGCAGGAATTGGATTCAGGAACACACAGATCAGGATCGGAGGCAGACGAACTGGCAGGGTTCTGCTCAGACTTCGGCCACTGCAAGAGCACGGCAAAAGCAGGTTGGAAGGAAGGGTCAAGACCCTCGTGATCCCTTGGCTTTATACTGAGTATGACATATGTGGGATGAAATACCTAGTTGGTCAGTTTTGGGTCCGCTTCTCCCCGTAGGTGCAGATACGGCACCCATGGTGAGACAGTGGCCTTGTCATTACCACTTGTAGAAGTACACACTGTCTGGAAAAACATGCCGTTAGTTTCAGCAAGTTCGGCCACTTAGAAGAGACTGAGCTGAAAAGTAAAATCACTAAATAGAAAATTGGTTCTATTTAGCTCAAACCAGGATGCTGAGTAGGCTCATTCTGACACAACTGGCAGAAGAGATGTCCACTTTGTACCTCAGAATATGTTAAGCGTCATTCTTTTTCAAAATACTATGAACAAAGAGTAGCTGATTTTTTAAATGCAACTGGGTTTCTCAATTATGACGTTTCAAATCTGACTGGTACGCTTTTCTTCAGGTAAAAATAGCATTCATAACCCATTGTTTTCAAAAGATGGTCCTATTAACCATTGTTAGCCAAATGGTTTCTAGCCTTATAACCTTCAATTGATAGTATTTTTATAGTTTGAAAGTATTATATTTCATCTAACACATTTGCAACAGTGTATTCAAGAAAATACACAACATTAATGCAGGGAGCTTAAGTATTGTAAGTTCTAGTCTAATGTATATTTATAAAAATAACATCCATAAATACCACTTTATGGCCAAAGAGCTATTAAACTTGGATTACATTACACATTAGGGCTAACCCTGAAATTGCCTTAGTAGCCTACATTAAGCCTTCAGTTGAGTCGTTGGGGTCTTACCTGACTGGGAAGTTACACTGAGCTTCCTGCTGTGAAGTTGAATTGGGCTTTTACTTGTTTTGTAACCGTCATGGCTAGAGATGCCCATCCCTCCTACAGCTGGGGCTTACAGGCTGTGCAGCCCCTGGCCGTAAGGTCTGGCTTGGCTCACTGCACTTCTGCCTGCTGCTCCTGTAAGGAGATGCAGCATGAAGGGCTAGGGGCAGGATTGCCAACAGGGCCGCCCTCTCTACCTCGGCAACGTGAAGCAGGCAACCTGTGACACAGGCTGGGATGCAGAGGGTGCTTAGAGAGCAGCTGCCCATGTAAGAGAGTGACAAAAGAATGGTTTCCTAGAAAATTTCTTTAACTGGCTTCAACATCTGTCTTAAGTACTGTTATCAGGAGAGTTAGATTATTCTTTAAGCGGGTGTGAAAAGTATCTTAAGTTGCAGAATGAGCAAAAGCAGAATTGCAGTAATCTGCACGTGTAATTCACTTAATGTTTTCCTGCTCCCAGGGTCTTCCATATCTCTTTCCTTATCTGTAAGATGCAGTTGTTACTGGAAAGCACTAAAACCTCCAGAGAAAGGAATTAATACTGCAAGGGAGCAAAAATGATACATAGAAAAACATGTTGCTAGTACTCACTAGTACCCAGGTTTTATGCTTAGAACTAAGTCTTCTTCTCCATTCTTTCAGTTTAAGGATTTACTAAAGCAGATTTCCAATAATTTACTGTAATTATACCATAAAATTAATATGAATTATGTAACTCACTAAAAGTAGTTCTTCCTTTAAAAAAAATTACTTCCATCACATGTAGATATTACTGTGCAGACAAAAGCCTAATTAAAAATGTAATGGTTTTCCTTTGTTCAGCATTTAATTTGAATTGTGGGATACTGCCTTATTCAGTCACCAATTTATAACTTAATATTTGTACCTTTATTTTGCAGATAATTGAAAAGAATGTTGCTGTCTGCAACAAACCAATATGTATTTAAGACCTTAGTATACAGCCAGAAACCTTTTCATACTTCCTTTCCTTATTCAGGGATTTCCACCTTCCTCTGAAGTTACATTAAGTAAAATGTTCTTCATTGGCAGTTGCCTTTCTTACGTGTTTTCAAAAAGCAGCAAATCTGAAGGGTTGTCTTAAGAACATGCAAAGTATCTGTCTTAAGACTGTTTTAGTTCTTGTTTTATCCTGTTTATTTCATAACTGAATTACTGCATTCTGCAGCTAATGCAGTTCAGGTCTTTCCTTTTCATTCCCTAATTAGAGTGTGATTTAAGTCTGCCAGAACTAACTTACTGAAATATTTGGCTTCTTTCCAAAGGTATCAAGTTTCATTAGAGAATTAGCACATGAACGGTTTCAAATGATAGTTATTTCTCTAAAGGAAGAGTTCTACGCCAAAGCAGATGCATTGATTGGAGTGTGTCCAGAGGTAACAATTAATTATTACCAAATTTTGTTAAATGATACACCCTGGTTTTTGTTGAAGTACTGATTTACCCTTAAGTGTTACTACAGTGAATCATGTACATAGTTATGTCGCTGGATTTGAACTGCTTTGTGTTCAGAAGTAACTGCAAGTACTGGCTCAAAGATCACGTTGGTAACTCAGTAATAGTCATTTATGAAATGCTTATTTTGGTTAACAGCAATGTCTTAAATTATACGATCCTTCCTCCTCTCAGCATGACGACTTTGTGTTCAGTCGAGTACTGACTTTGGATCTTACCCAATATCCAGACAGCACCAACCAGGAAAGAACAGAGAAGCGCAAACACAGTTCCATTTCAGAATAAAGCACAGATGATTTCAGGGCCAGGTGACGATGACAACAACTGTGTTTACAATGGACTGTTACAAATCTGAGTTTGAATGTTGCTATTAGAAATTGATAGAGAAATGTTTACCTTTCAAAGGAAGTAGTTTTCTAAAATACTGAAGGAAGAAACTGCTATTCACTGATCTAGTTTTGTTAACAAGAGATTGCCGGAGGTTATTATTGAAGTGTGCACATTTTGGTAAGCAAAGGTTTCTCTCCAGGTGCGTTGAGGAAGGGGTTGCCTTTAGATGAAGGATTACAGGTTCCCATAGACAGAGTTACAAAGAATAAGCCTCTTGCTTTTCCTTTGCAAAATAATGTATTTAGCCATATCTCTGGTGCACTGTTTAGATGTATGCTACAACTGCTGAAGACCTTTACAGCCTGCCTCTCTTGTGTTGCAGCTGCATCTATTTGCCTTGGGATAAAAATACTTTCTACTTTTTTAAAAACAGCAAGATACTGGAATCTGGCCGTTATCTTACGTGATTTTTGTGATACCTAGTAAGACCTAAGTCTTCCACTGCAACCTTATGAAAGTATTAGTTAACTTCAGAAGAGCTCGTGATATATCTCTATAGGTGTGATGTAACCTGGAAAAATTTCACCTTTGAAGTGTTCCACCCCACACAAAAGTGGAAAGAATAAAATGTGTCAGTCAAGTGCCATACAGTGACCAGCCTTAGAAAAAAGTTGCTGGTTTGCAGCTGAGATTGATATTACACAGCTGTCCCAGTAAAGTCAAGTTTATTTTGATGGCCATGCTTCACCGAAGAAGAACAGTTAATGAAGCTGGTTACAGAATACTGTTGAGAGCTTGCACCACTTCAAGTGGCTTATGTTTTACCCGCTGAAGACCTTTATTTGGTTTATGGTTGTTCATAATAATTGTATTCTCTTAGGTTCATCGCTTGGCTTCCTTTTGTTCACTGTGCTGCTTATGCGCGTCTGCCTTGTAATGTGTTGCTAGTTCTGTGCTTGTTGCGCACAACTGATGCTGTTTGGATGTGCAGGGTTGCTGTGTAAAGAAGGAACGACATGTGAGCAGTAGGTAGTGTGTTCCTGGGGGAACATTTCAACAACATAAATGTGCCCACACACTGTAGACAGATGTTTATCAAATACTTACACTGCTGCCACAGTTTGTTAAATAAACTTACTTACTCTGAGTTAAGTCATGAGTTTGCATCAGTCCTTTAATTCAGAATCCATTGGCAGATGTGGAAATACTTATAGTAGTGTGAAGGATGAATAGAAGTGCAGCCTCTGGTGATTTTCAAAGATCTTGACCATACTGTGTATTGCAAATACATAAGTTTTGGGTTGGTTTGTGGTTTTTTAATCATTTGCTAGAAATATCTGGTTGAAACAGAAGAATACAGTAAAGAATTGAACAGCCTGAAAAATGGTGAAAGCTACATGTTTTAGCTACTCTTTTAGCTTCCATTTTACTTTAAGTAATTTATTGCAAGAGTGTATGCCATCAGAGATGTTCTATCAGCTTCACTGCACCACTTGAGCAGAACAGGATAATAAATGGTCAACAAGTTTGTTTTCTTCTTTGTTTCTTCTCTCATTTAAAAAAATGAAGTAGAAAAAAGAGCCGTCTACAGTAGAATCAGCACATCATCATTTATGATGCCAATTTGTGTAGTTAGTTCTTTCACAGTACTTGGGCAATAATTTGAACAAGGCCTTAAACAAGTCACTCTCACTTAAGAGACAAATGGAACAGACAAGTTTCAGGTTCTGTCCCTTGTAACGGTAGATTGCTGCAAGGCAATCCCACCCCTAAGATGACCACAATACATTCTTTGGTTGCGAGGGAAAAAACCAAAACCATAACTAGGTATTTCTAACTTCTTCTTGTGTATGTTAGGAATTAAAATAACCCCTTCCTTACTCATCTGCCCTTCAGAATACAAATAAATGGCACTTGAGACAGGGGAGGCAGTTGTACAAGCTGCAGCCCACCAGTGTCTACAGAACAGAAGAATGAGCAAAGCTAGGTGTAAGTGGACCCTTACCAAAGGGAGGCGTGATTTCCTAATGTGGATCTGACTTCAGGCACAAGATAAGGTGCTACGTGACTTTAGGATTGGGCTTAAATAATTGCAGTAATCAGGATCATAAATAGCTGAGCTCATCTAATTAACTTTGCTGCAGCTTGAAGCAACAATTTAAGTGTTCTGATACATCAGCATCCAAAGTAACATGACTGATCACTTCTCAGAACAACCAATTCATGCTGATGAGAGAAGCAAATTTTAGAAGTTAGGCTTGCAGATAATGCTATATGCGATGCTAAAGAGACTTTTCTGAAGTGACGTATGAATAAATATAATCTCTCCAAAGGGTGAGTAAGGTCTATATTCAGGCTGCTTTTGCTTTTGATTTTTACCTTTTAAAAAACATAGCTGAAACCTTAAGAACACATACTTGAATTCCTTAGCAATTATACCACATACTGTCATGGTATAAACCCAGTGGGCAACTAAGCACCACATGGCCACTTTTTCACCCCTCCCCCTGGTGGCATGGGGAGCAGAGACTACAACGAAAGGCTCATGAGTTGAGATAAGAACAGGGAGGAATCACACAGTTATGGTCACAGACAAAACAGGTTTGACTTGGGGAAAAAACTGATTGAATTTGTTACCAAATCAAGTAAGAGTAGGGTTGCAGTCAGTTCATCACATGACGTTTCTGCCGCTCCTTTCTTCTCAGAGGGACTCCTCACATTCTTCCTCTGCTCCACCATGGGGTCCCTCTCACAGGACACATTCTTCTGTGAATTTCTTTGACATGAGTCCTTCCCACAGGCTGCGGTTCTTCACAAACCGCTCCAGTGAAGAATGCAGTACTTCAGGAACAGCCTACTCCAGTGCAGGCTTCCCACGAAGACACAGCCTCCTGCTCCAGCATGGGATCCTCTACATGCTGCAGCTGAATCTCTGCTCTACCACTAACCTCCATCACTGCAAGGGGACATCTGTAGTCTCACCCTGGGCTGCATGGGAGTCTGCTCTGATGCATCTCCTCCCCCTCCTTTCTCACCAACACTTCACAAAGACCTTGGCATCTGCTTACATTTGTCTCTTGCATCCCACTCCTCTCCCTGCAGCAGGTTCCCCAGCAGGTTTTTTCCCCACTTTCTAATAGCAGTGATACCACCATCCCTGATCGATGTGTCCTGGGTCAGAGGCAGGTCTGAAGCTTCTAGCAGCCTCTCACTGGGCCCACCCCTGTAGCCCCTCCCCTGCTACCAAAACCCCACCACACAAAGCCAATATACGTACTAAAACCCAAGTATGCTTTCCAGTCCGTCAAGCATTAAAGACAAGTGGGTATTTTCTTCTAGGGTAGAAGAGACAAGAGTCAGTGTGCGTGCATCGAGATTGCTTTTCTAGGCAAAATGTCTTCAGATTTTTACCTACTTCAGAACACGGACAAAGACTTCCACACAGCAAAAACTCTGCCCCTCTCAATAGTTATTAGTCTAGAAAGATGCATGCACCTCACTTTTAAGCTTTTCATTTTGCACCCATACATACTAGAGAACAAGCAGAAACTGTTTTTCTGACGTGGGAGTAACGAGTTAACATACCACAATTCACAGAGAAAAGCCATCTGACAGACCATCACTTCCACTCCCTGTAAAACCTCTCTATTGTGTGATGAGATCTCAGGGGGCACAACAGATAAAATCCATAGCGAACATGAGCAGAGACGCCTGACCGAAGCAACCATCCAAGACTGCCAGATGCACACATGAGAGTAATCAGAAAAAAGAATGGTCCTGAACACGCTCTCCTGGAGACACTGACATGAGAAGCAGCTGATTAGAAAATTGCAGAAGATTATCCATGTTTGCAACTGGACGGGTAATGATGTCAGTTTAGTGCTGAGACAATTCAGTGGTAGATGAAGTAACAGCACCTCAGATTAAAACAGTTTATCCAGTACCTAACCTTAATCATTTGATTAGTTCAACTTAAGTCAACCGACACACTAGAAATTGTCTACAGGTACACAATTAGATACTAACTGGTTTTAATTCTGCTGCATTAAGACTATCCATTATCTGCTTTGTGGTAATAAGCGGCATACTTTTATGATTTAAACAACTACTAAAGTATTTCCATAGAACTACACTGCAAATAAATCAGTAAGCCCACAAACACGTAGGGAATGTCCTTGCTGATAGATTACTATTACAACCTTTTCTCGCCATGTGATCTCATGCCTTAACAGAATGACAAATGGAAACAAATACTCATGCTAAAAGTGTAAAATAAGCAGGTTATCATGATGCAGGGGTTCTATAAATGTGAAACAACAACTCCTGTTGCTAACAGCTTAGAGATCCGAATCTTGCAGGCAGCCTTGTGCTGACAGACCCCTAAAGAATTCAACCTCCAGCAGCCTAACTGCACTTCAGCTGAGGAGAAAAGAATAAAAATCCCTTTAACTTTAAATGCAACTAACAGATAGTCACAGGTATGCCAAAAGTAATTTCTGACAAATTCAAACCTCACCTCTGCTGTGGCTTCACCTTGGTAAGAACTTGGTCCAACTGTCTTGAAGCACAGGCAGAGAAAACTTGCACCTGCTTCTTAATGACCCTGCAGATGCAGTTTTAGTGGTATGGAAGTGCCTGGAGAGTGACTAGTGTGACTCTCAAGCTTTACATACATTACACATTTACAACTCTAGAAAAGAAAAGGCCAAGATGCACAATTTTTATTCCATTAAAACTTTCCACGCAGCAGATGAAAATACATACTGTTAAAAAGCTGCTGATTTGATCCTTTTAGGAGAGCCAGCACCATTTCCTCCTAAAATCCTTTTAGCACAGTCCACACATGAGGTTCCTATGCAGAAAGGGGGAAGAAATATTTTAACATTGCTACATACATGTGCTTTGTATACTTTTTATTGCAAGCACCAAATATTAAGATAAACACATTATGGGCCCACTCAGGTTACTGTACTTGGATTCTGAATTATAACACTAACCCTACCAGAACTTTGGTACTAACACAGAGAACAGGAAGTAGCCAATTATACAGCTGCCTCTTGAAGAAAATAATTCTTGATTTTGTGTGACAATGCCTGTGGAGTGCACAGGTGAGAAGCTTCTTTAACAAGTTTGGATCCCTTATTCAGAGAACAAAATTCCTGGTGTGAACTACTGTTGAAAGTGTAAAAATGAAAGGAATGGAAAAACCTTCAAAATCAGGATTAACTCTAGATACATTTTGGGGGAGGGTGGGGTGTACTATACAAATAGGAGAGTGCTAGTAAGTTAGTAAAGGAGCTTTACGTTAAGTGGAACCGGAATAAGTTATGCTCAAGTTTTTGCTTTCTTCTCCACTGATGCCTAATTGTACTTTACAGAAAACTCTACTTTATGAACTCATGTGAACAACAGAGAAGCTTCTAATTGGAATTACAAAAGTTATTTCTGACTTCATACCTGCCCACAAGTATCTTGGACCTTGTGTACTTGATTGGGAAAAAGTGAGGGGGGTTTAATCTCCTGCAATGCCAAAGACCCTTATATGCAATAATGAAATTATATTTTTATACAATTTTGGTATTATTTATATGTTAGAAGTGTAATCTTTTTAAGATGAAGTGTTGTTTCAAAGGGAAGTTTTGCTATTTTATACCATAAATTGGAATGCATGGTCTAAACAATGCTTAGCTGAAAATCCACCTTCAGTACTACATGCTTAAGCTCAAGACTCACTCTTCTATACCTTCTTAAGAAAGGCATTCAAAATAGCCAAATGAATGTTTGGAAATTTAAGTCAAAACCTCATGGATGTTAATATTCTCCTAGAATACTCTGATCAGCATTAATAATTGTTTTATATACATTTTCTGGAGCATTCCCATTCTCTCATTTGTCATTTTCTTGACAGCTGAGAGCCAGCAGTTATCTGCTACTGTGTAGAAAGAAAACAAGAGGGTAAAGAGAATCCATTAAGCAGACATTCAGAGATAAATCAGAGCACTGCACAACAATTACTTTGAGACTTATTTTTAACTATCTAGATTATGAAACTTCCTGTAAAAATAAGAACGTTACTTACCCAACAGTGTTGTGCTGTGCACTCAATCAGCATCTAGAGAACTGCAAGAAACAGCAACAGCCCAAGTTAGCATCCAAAAAGTTTTTATGCTTTTATGCAACATCCCAAAACAGCAAGATTGTATTTAGAATCATAGAATGGTTGGGTTGGAAGGGACCTTAAAGATCACTTAGTTCCAACCCTCCTGCCATGGGCAGAGACGCCTCCCACCAGACCAGGTTGCTCAAAGCCCTGTCCAACCTGGCCTTGAACACTTCCAAGGAGGGAGCATCCACAGCTTCCCTGGCCAACCTGTGCCAGTGTCTCACCACCCTCACAGTAAGGAATTTCTCCCTAATATCCAGTCTAAATCTACCCTCTTTCAGTTTAAAGTCATTACCCTTTGTTGTGTCACTACCTGCTCTTGTAGAAAGTCCCTCCTTAGCTTTCCTATAGGACCCCTTCAGGAACTGGAAGGTCACTATAAGGTCTTCTCAGAGCCTTCTCTTCTCCAAGCTAAACAACCCCAACTCTCTCAGCCTGTCTGCATAGGAGAGTTGCTCCAGTCCCCTGGTCATCTTTGTGGCCCTCCTCTGGACCCACTGCAGCAGCTCCATGTCGTTCCTATCTTGGGGGCCCCAGAGCTGGACACAGTACTCCAGGTGGGGTCTCACAAGAGTGAAGTAGAGGGGCAGAATCACCTCCCTTGACCTGCTGGCCACTCTTCTTTTGATGCAGCCTAGGATATGGTTGGCCTTCTGGGCTGCAAGTGCACGCTGTCAGCTCACACTGACTTTTTCAACCAGCACACTCAAGTCCTCCTCAGGGCTACTCTCAAGCCATTCTCTACCCAGCCTGTATTTGTGCTTGGGTTTGCCCCAACACAGGTGCAGGACCTTGCACTTCACCTTGTTGAACTTCATCAGGTTGGCATGGGCCCACCTCTCAAATGAGGTCAACAAGATTCTGAAGTCAGAGTACAGGCCCTCTTCTTGTAAGTATTATGCCAATCTACTGATGGAAAAGGGGAGCATTACAGTCTAATTTTGCAGTTACTTCCACTTAGCGCTTACATAAATGTATATCCTACCCTGTTTTGGTATCAAAGGCTCTTTTGCAGTAAATCCATCATACTTATCAACAGCAGTATGTCAAAGAACAGACTAGCAGGCTGAAGCTAGCTCAGTATCTGAAACTGCACCCCAACTTACTTTTAGGTGTCTACACTGCCAACAAACTTCCTGAAACCTAGATGCTCTGCTAAATATTTTTATAGACTTCACTGAAAGAAAAATCTAGTCCAGTAAATATGTAATATTCATCCAGTTAAAAAAAAAACTATTAAATAATTTGGGCATACACCTGCGGTTTTCTTTTAGAGAGGGCAAGGGAAAGGTTCTTGCTATGCACCACTTGGGGATAATTTCAGACAAAACAGTTTCACTGACATGATAAAAGAGCTATGAAACAGTATTCTTCCCAAGGTCATCTACATTAGTTATTTTCTTCAGTTCTCTGGATGACCCATAATAGAACTCTTCTTCTTCGGAAAACATTACAGAAATATCTCTTCTTCCACATACAGCTGTTGTTTTTCTCTGGTTTTGTATTAAAAGCTCCTTAGTGTTACAGGCTAAGGAATTTTATAAGTTGAGACAAGAGGATGGAAGGTAACGGAGAAGGGAACAGGTAAATGGACCAAGTTAGTAACATTTAGCTCCCTGTCCATGCAAGACTTACCTTCAGCAAAGGTATCGAGTCATTTCCCCTTTTATCTTTAAATGTCCTCTGTAGAATGCCATCCACTGTCACAAATGGAGCATTATTCCACGGTCTTGTATTTTATTGTCACAAAACATCATCCCCACACTCAAGTTTTCTCCCCATTCAACCTGTGTTAAGCCCAACACTACTGGGGGTATTGACTTAATTTCTGATACTATGCTTAATCAGATATTGTGGCTCAACCAGCTTATCCCACCAGTTAATTCCTTCAGTTCTTTTACTCTCTTTTACTGACATGTCATATTTCATATAATGGACTGGAACAGTCCCAGACCAAAAAAAACCAAACCACAAAGAGTAAACATCTTAACCAAATGCTAACAAAAAGACAAATTCAGAAGTAAGGATTAAATTTACAAGAGTCCACACAGACCTTACAGAAAATTTGGTTCCCATCTTGTCATGTGTTCCAACTCTGCATGCTATTCATAAGCATAGATGCTGCACAGGTGTACCGCTAGCTACACATAAGGTCAACACCTCAGACCTATGAACCTACTCAAAATGTTCTTATTAAAAAGGTTACATTACCTGGACTTCTCTGCTTGCAGATTTGAGCAGTCAGATCTTGCACATACTCTGGGAATTGTCCAAAGCTGTCCCCGTAAGACACTACTTTTATTCCATGCAGGAGCATATCTGCCCGGAGCTTAAAAAAGTGGTCTTCATTTTCTTTAAGCACCAACATATAATGTTCTAAATCCATTTTGTTCTTTAGAGTATAAAGAAAAAGAGCTTGGAATATCTGATCACGCAGGGTCTCTCCACAGCCCAAAAACAAAAACGACTTGGTTCGATACAAATTTTGAAGAACTTCCTGTTAAGAAATAGAAACACACAAGAGCTACATTTACTTCACTAGTCAAAAGGCCAAGAGAAGAACTCTTAAAATACGTCAGATTTCAAAAAGAAGCAGAGCAAACATCACCATTGAACTGAATTAAGCATATTTTAGGATCAAACTGACATTTTATATGCATGGTTTCTACAAAAAAAATTTATACTCCAAAAGTTACCATAAAAAATGAAGTATGTATGTAAATATTTTCAGTAAAGGAATTATAAATAAAAAGAATTATGACAACAGTATTGGGCTCCCATTAGATCAAACTGTAAATAAGGAAAATTAGTTTTTTTGACCAAATGTTTAACTTCTCAAAATGCCTAGGATATGACATGAAGTCCAGGATCCAGAGCTGGTAACAGCTTAAGTCCCTAAGACAGGAATTCAAGCAATCAGATGCTGATGAATCCTTGTACTGGTGTCTAATGTTTTGAAGCTAATGTTTTGTCTTCTTCCATGAGACAAATACAAAGAACTCAAAAACTATGGCATATAGCTGAGGGTTTTGACTGTGATTTACAAAGAAGCAATAGACAAGAGCACACACTGCCCCAGCAAAGTAGCTGGCTTTCTGAAGAATACTGCCACTTTTCTGGGTCCACATTGTTGCGTCTATACGATATGATAAAATCCTAGCCTAAGGTAATGTGTATGCAGTGATTACAGTAAAATACTTTGGCACAACATAGTAAAAATTTTAAAGATCACACGAACCATGACTTCAGGATCTTGAGTAACATCTTTATATTCTGAGGGCTCTAACACCATTCCACAAGGATCTGTATATAAGCCATGAATATGAAGAACTCCGTATCTTATATAACCTCTTGCCCACTGAAGAACCTAAAGCAAATCACGCAAGTTACATTTGTTACACTGTAATAACTGAGATTTTTCAAAAACAGAGAGCTGTCTTAACTTACAAAACCACTTAAAGCAGTAGTAACTTATTTTGCACTTTCCTGCAGCAAGAGATAATTTTAATTACTAAGCACACAGCTTACTTTAAATTATAATAAAGAGGTGACCGCTGATACTGAAGATATCACTGGCTTTTTGGTCTAAACAAGCATTCAACCAAGACCCAAGTTCCAGCAACACTGACAGAAAATATAATGTCCGAGGTTTGCTGCAACAGAGAGGTTTTTCCCCTCATAATAGCTAGGGAGAGTTTTATGTTGTGCTAGGACAATGCTATTATTATTTCAATTTGGTTTATTTTAATTATTAAGTAGTCTTTATCTCAAGTGACGAGTTTTTTTACTTCTACTTTCCTCCTCCCCATCACACTTGGGGGGGGGTGGGCAGGAAACGAGTTGAGCAAGTTAACTGCATGGTGATCACCTGCATGTCAGGTTAAACCACAACAAACATGAACAGCAAATTAGTAACCAGCTAGGTGAAATCGTATGTGTGATTGTAACAATTACTTCCTATAATTGAAATAAGTCTGTGGGGTTTTTTCCAGGGAGTGTGAGGGGTAACTGGTTAATGAACATGTCACTGAAATTTTGTTTGGTAACTTTTACCAGATTATTCAGAATAAAAAGACATGGAAAATAAATGTATGTGCATCTGCTGTTAGCTTATAGATATGCTTTACAATGAAGAATTTTTAGTCTTGACAGTCTTCAAATGGGGAAAACATCTTTCAATGAAGCTTACGAGCTGCCTTCTCTTATAAGTCGTCTAAACATTTTACTGCTGTCATCATACCTTATCCTTATCTTTCAAGTCTAAAGATTCCATAGGTTTACCCTGTTGCTGACCAAATATTTCAAGTAAATTATCATAGTTTGTAGTCAGAACCATTGTGCCTCTCTCCATGAGTCTCAGGATTGATTGCAGAACAACAGGATTCTGAATGTGTTGTTCTAAATTATCAAACACCTCCATTATGCAATCCTGGAAGAAGTTGGGCTTCGTATCCCCAGTACGCTGAAAAAAAGGAAAAGATGAACACTTCATAAGGACCACATGCACCACTATAATGGCCTCCAATAGAAAACTCACATCATTTACCTACTTAATGCCAAAGTGTTTATTTAAAAGAGGGCTTACATAGTATATCAAGCATAAAGGTTTGAATGCACAAAAACATCAAAACCAATCACAAATCACAAAAACCAATCAAATCAAAGATGCTCTTGCCTCCACTTAATGTAGCTGAAAATAATAGTCTCTTTTTCTCAAGGAAGCTTATAACACAGGTACAATAACCAGAACTATTATGCTACAGTTAAATCCTTGCTCATCACTTCTAAACACATAAGAAGATATGCTTTCCTAGAAGCATAGGGTGCATTTGCCCAGAGTATCTGCTGAGACTGACAGGAACTTGTAACAATTCTATAAAATATACAGATTTCCTATTCAATGAATTGTATTACACACAGAATAAATGTCTGTTTATAAGCTCAATATAGTTACTGGCCTAACTGCATGGAAACCTCACCTTTCTCAATATGTTTTTACTGCTTTGAAGTTCGTGTACTAAAATTATAATTCCCAGGATTCAGAGTTTGGGATATACTATTAGAGGGTTGCTTTTTCCTTTTTTTTTTTTTTTTTTTTTTTCTTTTTTTTAATTTTCCTTGGTTCTTGGTTGATAAAAAAGCATTCATCATTAAATCTGCTGAAAGCCTACCCATACATGCAGACTCATCCCAGAAGAGAGAGGCAGTTACTACACTTTGCCTGTAGAGAAGCTCATGACACGTTGCAAAATGCTCCACACATCCTACAGCTCAGCATTATGTATGTCACCTTTATTATTTCAACTAGAAGACTTGACAAACATATTAACACAATATGATAATTTTTGGAACACAAAAATGAACTGCTGAGAAATGGGGCATGTATGGACTGTCTTCAGGGAAGTGTGAGCTGCAGTGGTGAATATGTTTGTGTGACCTAAGGCTACCAGGAGGTTCAAGATCTACCTGTATTTTCATGGTCTCTCTAGTTTTAGCCAGCAGAGCTATATATTCCTCTGTCAGTTCCACAAAACATCATGGAGAATAATTAATAGTCAGCTTGCATTAATTATGAAAAAAGCTTTCTTACACTAAAACCCATTTTTAGACTCTCCAAAATGTACAGTGTACTGTGTGATTACCATCAAAATTTCAGTCTTTTTCCAGGAAAATTACAAGTACTAGAAAGCAAGAAAGAACGTTTGCCGATAACAAACTAAAAGTATTTTAATTTTAGAAATCAATACAAGTTATAAACACACTCACTGGTGACATTTTCCTGATGAGATCATGTGCAACCACAAGCAGGTCTCTATCTTTGGCTACTTTTTTGCGAAATTCAGCAGCATCACCTGGATGAAGCACCTCCAGCTCTTCAGCTGCTTCAATTACAGCCTCAATGCAGCTTCTCCAGGAGCACAGCGCTGGGATTCCTGGTGCTACTGCAGCACTTACTCCAGTTCCAATCACAAGAAGAAGGTCCGGAGGCTGCTTTCTTATTAGACTTTTTAAGAATTTTCTTTGAAAAAAGAAAACAAAAATCTTAAGTTTTTTACAGTGCATTTTCTAACTTGTCTGAAGATCTCGTGACTGACTCACAAAGTCCATGTGAACTATGTGCTTGTGCAAAATACTAACCAACCAAAAGCCGCAGAGCTCTTCACTTAGAACACAGAAGAATGGCACCAGCAGCCGTTCACAGCCTTCCCCATACTGTCAATGTACTCTGTTTTTGATGTTTTAGGCAAGTAAATGTGCATAATTAATTTCAGCCATAAATGGGAACAACTTCAAATCATTAACGTCTTTGAGATCCAAATTGACAGCTACAAATTTTCAGACCACTGGGCTTGCCAAACACCAATTCAAATGAAATTCAGAAAAAATAGTCAAAGGACTGTCCAATGATTTGCTTAACACATGTCTGTCAGAAAGCAACTCAAACTATTTCAATGGGACAAGTCACAATATTTCAAAGAAACAAATTTTTGTTTTTCCGGGAAAAAGCAGTATCTTTTATTCTCATTTTAGGATATATGAGCATAAGAGCAGTCATGCCTGTTCAGATCAAGGGGTCATCTAGCCCACTATTCAGATGTCATTAACCACAATTTACTCTCAAAGGCGTGCATTTGGTTTTATGTCAGTGTTCACTGCATAAACCAGCACAAAAAGCTGTAGAGAAAGCCTGGCTTTCATGATTACTTCACAAAAAAGTGAAAATGCATTTAAACCATACAGTGAAATCACTGCATACAAACAAAGATTTCAGTAACACAGAACCTTACAATTCCCTTGAACATTCAAAACTACCATTACAGATTTTTAATTCCTGTTAATCTGGCAATATGGATGTTTAACAACTCTTATTTCACAATCATCTGAAACTATCTGCTAAAACAATAATGTTTAACTTGAAATGGCCCCAGGAGAAGCAATTAAAGAACATGGAGATATGGTTGCTAGCCAATGCCTACATAGAAGATGTTGCTGATAATCCCCATGCCTTCCTGCTACATGCAGTACAAACTGTTTCCTCTCAGCAAGTATATTATTTATTCCTCCTAAACAGCTCACCAAGTATGAAGCACATGGTCAGTGGAGAACCTAGTTTCTGGGATCATTTCAAGTTTTCAAGCATGATGTTGTTCTCATATCCAATTTCAGACTGTGTTTTCAGATTTTTATTAAGGGCCAGTTTTGTATAACCTTTGCAACACAAGTTACCTGGATTTCTGCTCACTTTTAATTGTTGGTTGTTCTGCTGAATCCATCTCTGAGCCCTAAGTAAAACAAAAAGTAAAATAATTATTAATGCTTCTACCTTAAAGAAGCCCCAAGTAAAAACCAGATTAGAATGACTTATTTCTTCTTATCAAGTATTTTAAGCTCAAGACTCCACATGTCACATCCCAGTTAAGCAACGCACTGACAGAAACAAATCTGACAAAGCATGAGCACGTAAACCAGCCACGGCTCCATTTAAGCTCAGTTGATTGCCATTTTGAAGCTAATGGAGATATGGCTATACATGCAGCTGAAAAATACTCGTGTCTAAATGCAAGAGAAAATTTACAGCACCTGCTAAAATGTTAATTCATGTCAAATAAATAAATGCATTTCTTGAATTTTTTTCCCATAGTAATCAGTTGATTCAACCAAGTTTGTGGAAACTGGACTTCTGCAACACATAATGATCATGAGAGGCCCTCTGCCATACACCTGACTACACTACCAGACCATATAAAATGAAAAACTTTTTATTTCAAATACTTACTGAGAAAAACTTATTACTGTGTGACCTATATTGTCACTTGAACTGACATCTCGTTCAGTTGAGGTCACTGTCCTAGAATTGTCAGATTACTTTTCTAAATGTTTTCCTTTTTTTTTTTTTAATTTGACTGCTAACACTTTTGCATCATTACTGTTTGCCAACAGATAACCCTCTATATTGACAAAATTGAAACAAAAGAATGCCAGGAATTAATTTGTCTTTTGCACAATTTCAGCATTTTCTGACTGGTAAAAAGCTGTGGTTTTTAGACAATATAAACCAAAGAAAGAACAAAAAGTAAGAAGTATACTTTCAAAAATCACAGAGAACATACAAATCTTAAATTAACAAGTAGTACAAGATCCCTCTGTGCTGTGTGCCTACAGCTGCTTCCTACTTACTATTAAACAGATGAAAAACATTTACTTTCCTGAGCGAAAAGTATCTTTTCCCAAAACCAAGCTGATATACAAAATAAAACATTTAATTTAATGTTTTATTTAAAAAAACACACACAAAAAAAGAAAAACCAAAATCAAACCAACCTTTACAAAACCAATTTTGCACAGGAACCTGGAAGAAACCCACTTTGAGCTATCAGACACTTCTAGAACAACAACTACACAGAGAGATTTAGGAGCATTGCGTGTTCTGAAGAACTCGATTCATCCTAAAACAAATGCTCTAACATTGCAGACATGATACAAATAGAAAAAACACACTTCTCCCCAAAAGACAAGTTCATCCTTTACTAGAAGGATACTAATTAAAACTGTAAAGCCAATTAACAACTCCTATTTCTACAACACAGCTAGTTTACCCATGCAAGGTATTTAAGGAAAGTAACTACCATTAAGGTGGCTGCTAAGATTCTCACTGTAAAAACCTGTGGATTATCATCTTGTGTGCCTGCTCATTCTAAAAGACCCAGGAGAACCAGAATCATAAGTGAGGATGTGAACAATCAGTTCTCTTTAAACCAGAGAGTTCAAATGAAAACTGTAATTCTAGTTCACCACAACTCTGCAATACAGTTAGAAGGCAGAACAAGTTTTACCTATTTACTCAATTAATTAAAACGTATGGTTAAAATCAAGAAAAACTCAGCTGCCAACTGTAAACCTAACTCCACTGGAGTTACTCTAGGTTTGTATTGTTAACAACGTTACAATTGTGTCTAGTACACTGACGTCCGTGAAATCACAGAAGCATTTGCCCAGGGCTCCATGCTGTAAATATATTAAATATAAAAAACCCCAGAAAAATGGTGCCTAAATAGTCACAAATCTGATCTCATTCATTTGACAACTCAACAGAATTTATGCAGGTAATCCTGGCTCTCTCCCCATCCTGAAGTCCATACTGTACGGGTATTTATTAGCTTTATTTTGTGCCTGTTGTCTCTACACTGGATTTGTGAGCTACTATAAAACAACTCCTCCTTGCAAGAAGCTCCTTCATCAGGAGTAATATCCAAAATATCATCCTTCTATAACAACCCCAAAGTACAGAAAACTTTATTTTACTCTCTCTCTCTCCAGCTATTTTCTCAAGCCAACTTAAATCTAAAGCATAAAAAGGACTGCATCTTGGCAAGAGAATTTGGCTACAGTGTCGTCACCTGAAATCCCCAAGTTTCATTACATTAATTCTTGGGTTTGTTTTTATAAGGATGTCTTTTTTGTTTGGCTTTGAAACATATCTTAGTTTGTGGTTGTGGAGATTACAGGCTGCAGACCTTAATCCCTCAAACAAGCATTCTGCCAGGCCCTATGGCTCATAAGGCTACTCGCCAGCTCGGGTTCACAAGCTGAAAACTCACTTTGAAGCAAGAGGCCCAGGTTTGGAGACCATTTGACTGATTCCCCCCACTGCCCCCCCCTTCCCATCCGAAAACAAAAAACCACCACACAAAAACCCAAAAAACCCCAAACAACAACAAAAACCCCACCCTGTGATAGAGGGACATTAACATTTCTGAGGAAAATGGACAAATCTCTTCGCAAATGCGCCCTAGATGTTTTTGCAAGTGGAAAACTCTTTTGTTGTTGTAATATTTTGTTTCTCCATGCTCCTTTTCTTCACTGACAGTATCCTACAAAGATGCTATACTATCATGTCAAGAATGTTAGCACATTTAAAATTCAGAACAACCTGTGTAAAACAAAACACTTTACATATGAAAAAAATACTGAGTTCACAGTGCAAAAACACCACATGAAAGAAAGTGCAATTTATTTCTTCTGGAAATGATTGTAGTATTTTACAACCTCATCCAGCCAAGTACTGGGGAAAGAATTCCCATGAAAGCTTTAATAATTACATTATTAGTAACTTTCCAAAATTAATAAAATAAGCATCTCACCACAGGATGCTGTCAGTACCAACATTTTAGACCTCACTGTTTTCTTTGATCCCTTAAGGTTGCTTTCTGGAAACAGAAACTGTACAAATAAGTGACAGCAATTATCACCGACATCTAATAGCTAAATAGCTGCAAATGATTTTTCAAATTTCTCCATGCCTTTGAGTACTGAGTAACTGTGACCAGTCTTGAATATTCTCTTATTAGATGCAATCAACTCTTCTTCAATGAGCATACCTAGAGAAATAGAGGACCTGGGTACCAGCATTCAATACTGGCTTACTCTGAAAGAGACACACTGGGCTGACCAAAGGCAGATGCGGTTGCTTTTCAGCAACCTCTCCCCATGGCAGCCTGGAGATCAGACCCCACTGAAATCCAGACAAGCCTGAAAACGCTGAATGGAAGCTAGGTCTTTCTTCCAAACGCACGCAAGGTTCATCAGAACAAATTCTAATTTCATATTTTCTTCCTGTTCAAGAACGTAAGTTTGGTTTAAAGATCTACCCATAAGAAGAAACTGACTGAAACTTCAAGCCAACGGTTTGATTGAACCAAACGATTTTTTCTAGGTAGCGTTAAACATGAAAACAGTTACATTTGAAAACGGCCCAAAATAATAAACAGAAAGGAAGCATCGGGTAAAGGAAAGTCCTTTCCCCCTACCCACCCCCTGTACCCGCTGATTGTCTTTGGAATAAAAAGGAGCATCGGGCTGGGCAAGATGCTGCCGAGTTAAATTCCCCGTCTCCCTCCGGTAACCGAACCGGCGTTACCCCGGCGCAGCGAGCGGGCACGGTGAGAGC